CATGGATAAATCATGCGTGTGTGTAGATTTTTTTTTGTTTTTCATGCAACGTTTTCCAACAATATGAATATTCATATACCTCTTGGTCCTCCTAGGTGCTTGAGGATTGTCCTTGCCTGAGTTTGGTTGACATCTGCTTCTATTGTTGGTGTTACATCACCAATGCTGTATTCAGCGGCTATGCATACTAAAGTTTGCATCGCTTCGCCATCCAGCAATGATTTACTGTTGGTGAGATCAGGCAAACGAAACCTGTGTCAGGTAATGTCAGGTAACACAGTAGGAGTGTCAGGTTGTCGCTTATATATATCAACAGGAATTTGGTCACCAACTTTTGGGAATGCACATTCTTCAGAAGAATGTGCATGACAAACAGGTTGCAGTTCTATATAGACAATCTATTACGATGGAGAATTGACATTTCATATATTCACTAGTTAATCGATGCCTTACTTGCACAATTAACAAAAATTACTATAATTCTAAATGTATACTTGTTGCCGGAGTCAGACGCTTGTGCATGCCCCTTGTCTGCTTGAAGCTCTGAATTTGGCAGGGAGATCCTTTTGAGGCCGCTCTCACATGATTCTTCTGCTATCAGTGCGCCATCTCCAACAGCACTATTGCCAGATTGAGCCATGGCGCACCAAGGAGACTGGCTTGCTTCCACCGCGGCAAGATCCGGCAGTGGGAACCTATGTAAAAAAAGCGAGACCACTGAAAAGATGACTCCTTTCTAACTCGAGAGGACTAATACCGAGAGTTGAATAACAGCGGGACCAAGGAAATACCTGTCGATTGGATCTGATAGGAACTCCAGGCCGTGGTCTCCGGCGTCCGCCATCGCCATAGGAAGAAGCTTGTTGCCTGGTGCGGCGCCCGAATTTGGTTATCATGGGCACGAAGCTGATAGCATACTGATACGTGTCTGAGACGTGGTAAGAGCAACTCTAGCGGACCCTGCAAAACACGCGAACCAGCAAAATTCCAGCGAGTATACATGCTCGGTTCAATTTTCCGATCAAAACAGAGCTCGCATACTCGCTTGACCCGTAAAAAAAATTGCCGTGGCCCGCACAACGCACGCCCCGACCGCTATATCTACGGTTCCATAGCTCTTTTGCGGGTCGAAACCTTATCCCCCGCCGCCACCGAGCCACGCGATTCCCCACCCCCTTCTTCACATTTCTCGCCGCCGGCGACCCCCCCCCTCCCGCCTCCAGACGCCATGTGGGGCCGCATGTGGAGCTCCGGACGCGGTTCCGGCAGCAGATCCGGCGGCGAAAGCGACCCCGAGCGCGAGCGGCGCGTCCGGTCGGACGGCGCGAGGAAGCGCGGGGCCTGGAAGTGGACCAACCGCGGCCTGTCGCCGCCGGCGAGCTTCCGCGTCCGCGAGACGGAGGAGTACAACCGCCGGCGCGCGTCCTTCTCCTCCGCGGCGAGATCTTCGTACGCCGGGAGCTCCTTCTCTTCCGGCGCAGGCCTTCTCCCCGTGAAGAGGGAGTGGTCGGAGAAGCCGGACGACTTTGAGTTCGTCCCCATCAAGGAGGAGCCGAACGACTTTGAGTTCGTCCCCGTCAAGGAGGAGCCCGAGGAACCCGCTCCGCTCGGCCGCTACGGAGTCGTCGGGCCGGAAGACTTCGTCTCTGATGTCGACACGGTTGCGGCCGCCGTCAGATCCCCACCCCTCTAGTACTAGTATTAATGTAGTATGTAGTATGAATTATGTTGGTGGTGTTTCATCATGTAAAATCTATGTAGTATGTGATGAACTACTCGCGTCAACGAGGTGCAATTTCTCCCGCAAAACTGTTTTTTCAAATTATGCAGTTTTAGATACGGTTTCTATTGGGCCGCGCTAGTTTTCGACCCGCAAACGAGATCTTCGTGAAACTGCAAATGCATTTTGCGGGTCGAGTTTTTGCAAGGTCTGCTAGAGTTGCTCTAAGGTAACTATTGACCCCGAAAAAAAGTCGTCGAAATGTATCAACATGTGATGTTGTTTCGATTATCTCGGCGCTAGAATTTAATAGTGAAAGCACATTAAAAATCAATTTTCTGTTTGAGAGATAAAACATCTTAAATTTTGAAATATGAAAATAATTATGCTGACATAATCACTTGCATTCATGCATGCTTGTATGGCGATTTTGCACTGTCCCTAACCGGCAAGCTGACCGCATGCAATTTAAAAGCAAGCATCCCATTATGCATTTTTCATATACATCAGAAATATTTGTATACACATTTTATATTTTTAAATACATGATTAATATTTTTTGATACACATTCTTTTTATGCATTTTTCATATACATGAATTTTTTTACTATACACATTTAATAAATTTTAAATTCTTGGTTAACATCTGTTTATTATATATTTTTAGAATATTTAGAAGTATTTAAAAAGAAAAAATATATTTAGAATATTTAGAAGTATTAACGAAGGCAAAAAATAAAAAAAACTTACGCATGAAGCATAAGAAACATTAAAAACAAACAAGGTTGGGTGAAACGCAAAGGGGTCGATGTAGTGAGTCGGCCCACTTGTAGTATGTAAGAGGCCGCACAGTTCGCCTTTTTTATTTGTTTCTTCTTCAGTAAAGGTGTTCCAGATAGTGTGCGCCAAAAGATTAAAGATCTGCGGAATGTCCCCAATGAAACACTTAATGGAAAATATCTAGACATGCCTTCAGACATAGGTAGCTCAAAAAATGGTTCTTTCAAATTTATGAAAGACCGGCTGTGGAGTAAAATCCAGGGTTGGATTCAGAGGACTTTGTCCACGGCTGGTAAGGAAGTTTTGGTAAAATCAGTAGCTCAGGCAATACCAGTATATTCCATGTCATGCTTCAAATTACCTAGAGGCCTTTGCGAGCATCTGAATATGTTAATTAGGAAGTTTTGGTGGGGCAGTAAGGATGGCAAGCACAAGCCTCATTGGGTCTCTTGGAAGGCAATGACCCAACCAAAAAGCATGGGAGGGTTAGGCTTTAAAGATTTTGAGCTTTTCAACTTGGCTATGTTAGCTAGACAAGCCTGGCGATTGTTACAATGCCCTGACTCCTTGAGTGTGCGACTGCTCAAGAGTATTTACTACCCAAACACTACAATTCTGCATGCTACTTTGGGTAGCCACCCCAGCCAGATTTGGCGGGCCATCATGGAAGGAAAGGACACTTTAAAACAGGGAATCATCAAGCGGATTGGCAATGGTTCGGACACTCTGATCTGGGAAGAAAATTGGCTACCAAGGAAGGAAATGATGCAACCATATGGGTGTTGAGTGCTGAATGCACCGACACATGTCTCACATCTTATAGACTCAACTTCAGCTACTTGGAACAAGCAGCTGTTGGATGAGGTGTGTCGGTGTCAAAACCGGCGGATCTCGGGTAGGGGGTCCCGAAATGTGCGTCTAAGGCGGATGGTAACAGAAGGCATGGGACACGATGTTTTACCCAGGTTCGGACCCTCTTGATGGAGGTAAAACCCTACATCCTGCTTGATTATTCTTGATAATATGAGTAGTACAAGAGTTGATCTACCACGAGATCGGAGAGGCTAAACCCTAGAAGCTAGCCTATGGTCTTATTATTGGGGAACGTAGTAATTTCAAAAATTTCCTACGCACGTGCAAGATCATGGTGATGCATAGCAACGAGAGGGGAGAGTGTAGTCCACGTACCCTCGTAGACCGAAAACGAAAGCGTTAGCACAACGCAGTTGATGTAGTCGTACGTCTTCACGGCCCGACCGATCAAACACCGAAACTACGGCACCTCCGAGTTCTAGCACACATTCAGCTCGATGATGATCCCCGGACTCCGATCCAGCAGAATGTCGGGGAAGAGTTCCGTCAACACGACGGCGTGGTGACGATCTTGATGTTGTACCGTCGCAGGGCTTCGCCTAAGCACCGCTACAATATTATCGAGGATTATGGTGGAGGGGGGCACCGCACACGGCTAAGAGATCAATGATCAATTGTTGTGTCTTTGGGGTGCCCCTTGCCCCCGTATATAAAGGAGCAAGGGAGGAGGAGGCCGGCCCTAGGAGGGGGTGCGCCAAGTGTGGAGTCCTACTAGGACTCCCTAGTCCTAGTAGGATTCCACCTCCCATATGGAATAGGAAAAGAGGAAGGGAAAAGGAGAAGGAAGGAAGGGGCGCCCCCCTTCCCTAGTCTAATTCGGACCAGACCAAGGGGAGGGGTGCGGCCACCCTTGAGGCCCTTTTCCTTCTTTCCCGTATGGCCCAATAAGGCCCAATACGTATTCCTGTAACTCTCGAGTACTCCAAAAAATACCCGAATCACTCGGAACCTTTCCGATGTCCGAATATAGTCATCTAATATATCGATCTTTACGTCTCGACCATTTCGAGACGCCTCGTCATGTCCCCGATCTTATTCGGGACTCCGAACTCCTTTGGTACATCAAAACTCATAAACTCATAATATAACTGTCATGGAAACCTTAAGCGTGCGGACCCTACGGGTTCGAGAACAATGTAGACATGACCGAGACACGTCTCTGGTCAATAACCAATAGCGGAACCTGGATGCTCATATTGGCTCCCACATATTCTACGAAGATCTTTATTGGTCAAACCGCATAACAACATATGTTGTTCCCTTTTGTCATCGGTATGTTACTTGCCCGAGATTCGATCGTCGGTATCTCAATACCTAGTTCAATCTCGTTACCGGCAAGTCTCTTTACTCGTTCCGTAATACATCATCCCGCAACTAACTCATTAGTTGCAATGCTTGCAAGGCTTAAGTGATGTGCATTACCGAGAGGGCCCAGAGATACCTCTCCGACAATCGGAGTGACAAATCCTAATCTCGAAATACGCCAACCCAACAAGTACCTTCGGAGACACCTGTAGATCACCTTTATAATCACCCAGTTACATTGTGACGTTTGGTAGCACACAAAGTGTTCCTCCGGTAAACGGGAGTTGCATAATCTCATAGTCATAGGAACATGTATAAGTCATGAAGAAATCAATAGCAACAAACTAAACGATCAAGTGCTAAGCTAATGAAATGGGTCAAGTCAATCACATCATTCTCCTAATGATGTGATCCCGTTAATCAAATGACAACTCATGCCTATGGTTAGGAAACATAACCATCTTCGATCAACGAGCTAGTCAAGTAGAGGCATACTAGTGACACTATGTTTGTCTATGTATTCACACGTGTATTACGTTTCCGGTTAATGCAATTCTAGCATGAATAATAAACATTTATCATGATATAAGGAAATAAATAATAACTTTATTATTGCCTCTAGGGCATATTTCCTTCACTTATTGTATGTTGTTCTACGGACTAAAACCCTCCGGTTTATATAGACACCGGAGGGGGCTAGGGTTACACATGGTCGGTTACAAAGGAGGAGATATACATATCCGTATTGCCTAGCTTGCCTTCCACGCCAAGTAGAGTCCCATCCGGACACGGGACGAAGTCTTCAATCTCGTATCTTCATAGTCCAACAGTCCGGCCAAATGATACAGTCCAGCTGTCCGGAGACCCCCTAATCCAGGACTCCCTCAGTAGCCCCTGAACCAGGCTTCAATGACGATGAGTCCGGCGCGCAGTGTTGTCTTCGGCATTGCAAGGCGGGTCCCTCCTCCGAATACACCACACAAGAGTTTCAATGCAAGGATAGTGTCCGACCCTGCAAAATAAGTTCCACATACCACCATAGAGAGAATACTATTTCCCCAAATCTAAGATGCTGACACGTTTTGGCAGCATGACATCATGCCATGGCCCGGTAATTATTCAAACCGTTTTTATTTAACCAGCCCCGCACATAACGCGAGGCGGTTTCTTGA